TAGTGATGATGGAAAAGTTCGGTTTCAAATTGCTAGTTAGTAGAAGGAATCAGGGTATGTTAGACTATAGTATACACTTGTGAAAATCAAGACAAAATAATTTAATTACCAGCAAGGACGGTTCAAGAAAAATAAAGATTTGATTTTTTTCTCTTGTTCGGCTTTAGATACTTTATTGAACCCCCTCCTTTTTTGGTTTCGATTTTCAGCCTGATATCAATAATAATAAGTGGACGAAATTGCTGGACTTTTTTCTATTTGCTATATTTTACTTTAAACATCTTCGTCTTTAGTTAAAAATAATTCTCACACCGTTATAATGTATCAGAATTTTTCACATTAAATTTGAAAATTGATTTATAAAAAAAGGAGATTAAACACAAGGTGAGAATAAACGAACCAATATATAAGCAAAGGTAGGGAAAACAGTATTTTAATTTGGAAAACACCGGCCCGTAGAATGCGGGGGGGGGGGGGGGGGGGCAGGGGGTGAAAGTAAATGGTTATGCTCTTCTTATTATTTATTTTTTTTTGGCTTGTCAGATTTTTTTGGAAGCCTCTCCCCCCAACTTTTGAAACTGTTGCTACTGACCTGAAACACATAATTAAAATAAGCCCAGAATTATTATAGGTAACCTACAATCATGTCCATTGCGTTCAGAATTTTAGTCGTGACTGATAACAATTTGTCAATATTTGATCATCTGATTTGTTGGAAAATAATGCCCGGTGTATACTCGTTGATGTGCAGGGCTGTATATAAATACGTGGCTTTAGCCGTTCAGCCAGTACCGCCCTGTATCTTTCATATATAACTTTTTTCTGGTAAGGTTTGCTAGTTAAGAACTTTCTGGTAAAGTTTGTGCCCCAAACTGAAATTATACAGACCTGTGGTTTGAGTAGACAGTTTTAAGTCTGTCTGGTTTTTTTCTATTAGTGGGCTAATCTGTAATGTTTTAATTGTGTGTTATCATGACATTCTGTGATAATTTTACCTGAATAAAATGAAGTGCAGTTTTTTTTTAAAAAAATAAGTAATGGTACATGTAGGGGTATAAAAATCAAGAAATGGAGGGCATATATAAAGAAATGTTTGTACATGTAGTAGTATTGACAATCACCACATCAGTATATTATGCCTAAATAACGAAAGAAACTATTTTCTCTCATTTTTTGAAGGAGGGGAGGGGACTTAAATTTGAAAGGGGTAACCCTCTGTTTAACACAATACACGATTTAAAAATATTAAGTTTTCGCTAAGCATCTACGTGTAAAACAATTAATAAATTATTGTTTTTTTTTCCTCTTCAATGAATTGCCTTAGCATGCAATTCTTCAGAAGACGTTGTTCTTAAGGAAAAGAAAATCATGTTATATAAATATCATTGACTTTTCTTTATTTAGAGCCAGCATTGGTCTTTGTGTACTAAATGACTAAATTAAATACACGTGCATGTATACATTTAAGACCAACATTATTGTAATTTCCTGCTAAAAATGAAGACATTTACTACATCAGGATCTGTGTACAGATATAAATAAATAAAATAAGTTATTTAGTTAACACTCATTAATTTTGTATATGAATATTATTCTGCTGTATTATCTTATCAATGTCTTTGTAGAGGACTATATACGAATTTCACACAAAACATTAGTAATTTGTTGTTATGTTGTATAATAGATCCATCTGCATCCTTTCTCATAAACAATTTGCGAATTAAGCAGGCAACAAAGTTGATGATTAATAATTCTTTCTATGTTTTCAATATTTGAAGTTTACATTGATGTCAAACAAGGACGATTCGTTAATTACCGATTTAAAAAAAATTATTTCATTTATCTATGCACTTACAAATTTATTTGGAAAAGAATTATGATTTAACACATAACGAGAATTTAGATTTATTCTACACCGATAGAAAAGTGTAAATATAATTTTTATACGGTTAGGAAATTTTATTTTTTAATCAGTAATGAAAAATTGAAATTCAATTCTTTTTTCCTCTCTTATTGAACATCTTAAAATTAATGTAGCTTATTTTATCAATATTCTGTGGTCTTATTGATAATTTAAATTATTTTTTTTTTTAAATCAAATCAATGGTCAGCAATTATCTCCTAAATTTAAACTGAGTTTGAGGAGACTATGTGTATGTACTTGCTTGACCACAGCCCATTGTTCCCCTTAGGAAGAAAACCCTCTCAAATCACATAGAATATATACAAAAAATACACAGTCGCAGGTGTCTTCGCGACACGTGTCTCCACCTGTGGCACGTGAGAACAGGTGCCCGCGATTTCAAGGGTTAGCGCAATGATTGAATTTTATCTGAACAGTTTACACTGATTTTTCTAAAATTAAAAGTTGTATTAAATCTTCTCTTACTACTAATTCCAATTCACGTGTCTTTATGAGTTTTACCGAGACTAAAATGCTAAAAAATTATTTTAATTTGGGTTTACGGTGGTCACAGAATGTTCAATTTTATTACACAGAATTAAACAGATTTTTTAATTATTCTTTTGATATACGTTTCCAAAATGTCCTTTATCGGGAAAATAGGTGTAAACCACAGCATACGTGTTTTCCAGATCTATAGGAAACATGCAGGAAACTACAGGTGATTGCTTCCATATCGGGAATCTACGTGGAAACCAATACTGCGTGTTTCCGCGGTTTTTCCCATATTAGGAAACTTACGGGAAACCACAGGTTGATTGTTTCCATATCGGGAATCTACGTGGAAACCACTATGTGGTTTCCATAAAATGGAAACTATATGGAAACTACTGATGTCACGATTCCCATATGTTTCCATCAGGTTTCCAAATTTGGGAAACCTGGCTTTTCATCCTGTGATCTGTTTCATATTTGGATATCTTACTGCCTATATAGCCGATGAGGGCCAGATACATGTAACAACTAAATTTTTGACAAATGAGATGTTTTCTGTTTTTCGTCGTAAACTTTCCTTATTTACGTAGTAATTTTCCGTTATTAGTTAATATGGTGTTAACATCTCCCAACTTATTCGATACTTAAGAGCATGCTCTGAGTGAGTTCAGTTTTCAATCCAAGGCAGGCTAATGACAGAGAAGTTGATGTTACAGGGGTTTCAACAACCTCGTCTATAGTCAGCATTTTGTAATTCTGTGCTTGTTATATTGACCGTAGTAGCAAATTATGGGTCGTATTTTGGCTGACGTGTTTCACACCAATTGTTAGGCCTTTATTTATTTTTATTCTAAATTTGACGTTCCGTCTATCTGATCAATATATGGGATTCACGGCGGATGTGATTGGTCAACAGGGAAGACTTAATCTTCCTATGCACCATGTAGATTCAACCTCCCAGTTTCTAGGAGTTCGTATTTATGCCCTGTTCATACATTTGTATTTTTTGTAGATTTTTTTTTAGATCGCTCACAGTTCATTATCTTCACTTTTTTCATTAAACAAGAACTTGAGTTTTAATGGAAAAACACACAAGAAATCTTGTTTATACCGTCGTTTTATTGGTAGCAAATCGATAAAAAAAATGCTGTTACGTATTGCACTCAACCTATATGTTCAAAACGTTCTTTGATTGTTGTTTAATTTGTATTTCTATGCTTTTCAAATTTGTGGTACCAAAATTCCAAAACTATAAGCGGTACAGGCAAACAGATGTTAGTACAACACCCTGTATTTTTCTTGCTTCAGATTCATTTTCAGTATCGAATCAAGCGTCGTCTACTGCTGCTGTCCCAATAAATAAAATCGGCAATTCAAAATACTGTTTCATTTGTATAATATGCCTTCAAAAAAATTGCATGAAGCATTAGACATCGCTTTTTGATTGAAATAATTTCTTTTTCTAAAAATAATCATTATGAAAAATTGTACATTTTATGATAATCTTCTCGTTATATGCCTTATGAAAATTAAATCAACCATCTTTGCGGCACAATTTTCATAGGATATATTGCTTTTATTACATTTTTAATAGTGAAATACTGTGATTTATTTATTGAATAAAAGAGATATTCTCTCACAGTGTGAAAAGATACCAAAGTGATATTCTTTCGCAATATAAAAGGATATCAAAGTAAGCAAAAAATAACTTCTGGCCTGTAATAAGATAGAGATAGTAACTAAACTATCTTAATAGAGACTAAAACTGCCAATTTCTACCCAAATATGTTGCCTTGAAAATCCAAGATACAATGTTTTCAATAAGCTGAACTATGTCGTCACAGCCTATTACACTGTATGAGGAAAAGACAGAGACGAAGGGAAAATTAAAGAAAATATAATAAACAGAAAATTCAATGTTTGTAGTTGGATATGGAATTTATTTCACTCGTGAGGCAGGATTTTTTTTCGTGAGGCAGGTTTTTTTTAATATTTTCACTCGTGCTTCGCACTCGTGAAAATATAAAAAAAATCCTGTTCCACTCGTGAAGTAAATTCCATATCCATTGAACTACAAAACATTGAATATCCTTTATGTACTTTGTTTTTGGAATAGCTTTATTTTGCCAACTTTTAAGGATTCATAAAACGACATTTGAACTTGAAATACTCATGAAGCGAAACAAGGAAAACAACAAGTGGTTAGTTTGGATATTATAATTTCATTTAAAAGTCAATTACTGTTTACTTTATCTGGTTTCATTTATCCTAAATTTTGATCACATACCCTAGCTGGATAGACAACACACTGAAATTTTTGGATTAAGACGCATTTGTTTACACACTATTGTTTTCTATGACTTGCTTATTAGCGTGTCCAAATCTTAATCATTGGTTGAAATTGTAAATACTGTGGAAAATAATCATGCGTATTTCACAAAGACGCTACAAAATGTTAGAATATTCATATTTTTATCGCAATTACTTTCTTGGAATATTTTAGACCAGACAATGTGTTTTTTTAATAAAGCATATTTACATAAAAGGATATTTGATGTTGGCAAATACTCGTTATAGGTAAAGCGATTCTACCCTTTCTTACCACATTGTGGTACATCACACAGCTCCCATCGAGTATCTGGATCTTGTGTGTAACACCAGGCTCCAGCACTGTCGTCTGTGTTTCTACAATAGTTCTCATCCTTCATAAGGTCATTATATGAATGTGTGTGTGGAGTCTGGGAATCCCATCTTTGGCACGGAATGCCGGTTTTTGTGTAGCTTACCGTCCCACTGTAGTCAACTTGGTTGGGGGTGTAAGCACATTCAGTGGCAGCTAAAGATAGGTAAGATTTTCCATGAAAACTGATTAATTGCCTGCTTTAATGTTTTTTTTTTTTTAATTTTTATTGTTTTACTCACTTTAATTTGCTTTAGATAAAGTGTTTAAAATGTTGATTGTGATCGTAGCAGTAAAGGATTTTATCGTGCAAACGCCTACTTAAGTACTGATCTCAGTTTTAAAACAATAAACGCATAACAAGTAAAAGCTTTCTAAAACGCTTGCTTAACTTGAGCAATCAATATCTGAAGTAAGTAGATTTGCTCCAATGTAGGACTTCTGTCAAATTAAAATAAGTAGGACAAGGAACAAGAGGCCCAAGGGCCTTAACGATAACCTGAGTATAATATAATGATCCATAGATTAAAACAAAATAAACTGAGAAATGAAATTACTTTTTCCCAAAAGCAAGAGAAATATGGTGATCAGGGGTCAACAAAATATTCATTTAATGCTCAATAACAAATCTTAGAGTTGATCTATTTATTTGCCTGACCCCCCCCCCCCTTTGTCACTATCCTCGTGCGGAATAAACAAAACAATAGTCATAGAGCACTATCAGTTAGCACATTTCATTTCCCCTCACCCTGGCCTCTATTTGTCTTTGAGGATTATTTAATGTACAAAGATTCACTATTTTGTTTCATTTTAATTTATCTTTTTTCTAGAAGTAAACCTGACCATTAAAAACTACAATAGTACATGTACTTTTTGTATGAAATATTATGAAAAGTTTTGTATGATTTTGTTATTCAATTGACCTTTTAAGTTACAATATTTAATTAATTAAATATCATAGGCAAATAGCAAGGGGAATTACTTCTTTCAGTAAAAATTAATACTGAAATTGACCAAAGGGTACTAAATTGACCGAAGGGTACAGAATTTCAAAATCTGGTAAAAAAACATCCTTACTTATTACAACTTTATGTACTCTGTTTGCCTCTTCGCCCTCGTGGCGCAGTTGTTGGAGCGCTCGCTCTAGAGTCGCGGAGTAAGGAGTTGATCCTTACGTCGCGGGTTCAAATCCCACTGTGGGACATGGAGACCGGTCCTTCGGTTGAGACCATTTTCACTTTAGATTCAATATAGCCCCACTCTAATACCAGAGCCAAGATATTCACAATTAGTTTTGGAAGAGGCACACTTGCTCATCATGACCATGCATTTAGTATGTTTCGTTACAGAAGAATGGAAAGCAAACTTAATTCAAATGAACATTTTTATTGTTTGCCTCTATAAGTAGATTTATATGCCCACGAAAACAACAAGATTACAACGGCTTTAAATTGAAATGTATAAGTACATTCAAGTGACTGAATAACATTTCGAAAATGAAATGTTACTGTAAACCAACTTTTATTCGCGTGCGAGAAATACCCGCGAGTTTCGCGACCTACTTTAACTCGGGAGTATTAATCGCCGCGAATAATTTATTTTGCTTTGTATTTGTAAAGAATGTTTCCTCAGTCGCAAAAATTAATCGTTGGGGATTGATTTCAAACTGACAAATAGCAAATAAAAGATGATGCGAATATAATAGTTCGTTTACAGTAATAATGATGTTATACTGAAGGCTATTGAATAGTTTTGAAAAGCTTTGACCGTAAGAAAGTTACATGGTCAAATAAAATTAAGTAGGTCAAGGAACAAGAGGTCCAACGGTCTTAACGATAACCTGAGTATAATATGACGATCCATAGATTAAAACAATATAAACTGATAAATGAAGCTATTTTTTCCCAAAAGCAAGAGAAATATGGTGATCAGGGGTCAACAAAATATTCATTTAATGCTCAATAACAAATCTTAAAGTTGATCTATTTATTTGCCTGAAACCCCCCCCCCCCCCTCTTTGTCACTATCCTCGTGCGGAGTAAACAAAACAATAGTCATAGAGCACTATCAGTTAGCACATTTCATTTCCCCTCACCCTGGCTTCTATTTGTTTTTGAGGATTATTTAATGTACAAAGATTCACTATTTTGTTTCATTTTAATTTATCTTTTTTCTAGAAGTAAACCCGACCATTAAAAACTACAATAGTACATGTACTTTTTGTATGAAATATTATGAAAAGTTTTGTATGATTTTGTTATTCAATTGACCTTTTAAGTTACAATATTTAATTAAGGTAGTATGGGATACCTCCACGTTATGACGTATTTCCGTTTGAAGTATTGTTTTGATTTGCATGAGTGCTTATTACCGGGTCAAAATTTGTAGATACACCGTTGAAAAGAACACTCTGAAGCCTATTTCAATGCAAGTTCTCACAAGTCGGCATTTTAAGTAAAAACAGACAAAAAAAAATCGCAAGTATATAAATTTACTTATAATTGTACAACGGACATTTAAAAAAGCAAACCCCTGTAAAAGGTAGTTTCAACATTGCTGCTTTTGAACACTTTTAAGCAAAAGATGTATTTCAATTGTTTGAGTAACTGTACAGCACCTTGTGTGCGGTGAGGCATGGATAAGTGCGATTACTTCACATTGTGCTGAATTATCACCAATCAATTATCACGTTAACCAGAGCTGGACTTTTTTGTTATTTAATTCAAGAAGTAACTGTTTGGTCACAAATCAGCTAGCTGTTGTATATAGTCCCAAAACGTTCAGATGAATGCAATTGCTCTGAACAAGACACGTCCTGGAAAGCGATTGTCCATGCATTGTTTTCAAAACCGCTCAAAGTTGAAAACTACAAAGTGCGATTTTTCTATGGTTGGGAAAAAATGCTCATCATTTCTAAAATAGCACCCAGGTTTTTTCAACTCTTGGAAAATAAAGAAGGATAACTCTTCCGCTCGGATCTTTTAATTCAAAAAATTTTAAATGCATTTTATATTTTCCATTTATATATATTTTTTCAATTTGTTTATTTCACTTTGCTAACATATTAAGATACATTCTTATTGTAGACTTTCATGAAATGTTATCCGTCTGTTTTCACGAAATAAAGTTTTCCCAGTTTTTTACGCTTATTTTTGTTGAAAATTAAAAAAATACTAAGACATATTTCTTGTCATTTTTGTTTTTATAATCACTTTATATTAGCAAACACCTGCCTATAATATTAAGCTTATGAAAAAAGAATTATGCAAGAAAAAAAAATCGTTTTTTGTATTTCTCATTAATATAATAAAAAATTATTAAAATTACACTTTCATATACTGAAAGGTGGGGGTATTTCAAATCCTTCTAATTTGGGTACATAAATATGTAGGAGAAGTTTCGTTTGGTATCCCATACCACCTTAATTAAATATCATAGGCAAATAGCAAGGGAAATTACTTCTTTCAGTAAAAATTAATACTGAAATTGACCAAAGGGTACTAAATTGACCGAAGGGTACAGAATTTCAAAATCTGGTAAAAAACATCCTTACTTATTACAACTTTATGTACTCTGTTTGCCTCTTCGCCCTCGTGGCGCAGTTGTTAGAGCGCTCGCTCTAGAGTCGCGGAGTAAGGAGTTGATCCTTACATGTGCGTCGCGGGTTCAAATCCCACTGTGAGACATGGAGACCGGTCCTTCGGTTGAGACCATTTTCACTTTAGATTCAATATAGCCCCACTCTAATACCAGAGCCAAGATATTCACAATTAGTTTTGGAAGAGGCACACTTGCTCATCATGACCATGCATTTAGTATGTTTCGTTACAGAAGAATGGAAAGCAAACTTAATTCAAATGAACATTTTTATTGTTTGCCTCTATAAGTAGATATATATGCCCACGAAAACAACAAGATTACAACGGCTTTAAATTGAAATGTATAAGTACATTCAAGTGACTGAATAACATTTCGAAAATGAAATGTTACTGTAAACCAACTTTTATTCGCGTGTGAGAAATACCCGCGAGCTTCGCGACCTACTTTAACTCGGGAGTATTAATCGCCGCGAATAATTTATTTTGCTTTGTATTTGTAAAGAATGTTTCCTCAGTCGCAAAAATTAATCGTTGGGGATTGATTTCAAACTGACAAATAGCAAATAAAAGATGATGCGAATATAATAGTTCGTTTACAGTAATAATGATGTTATACTGAAGGCTATTGAATAGTTTTGAAAAGCTTTGACCGTAAGAAAGTTACGTGAATGACTTGTTCCCTTTTGAGTGTAAAAAGGAATCTAAAATAAGTAGACCTTGGAAGCCTTGCTTTGAATACGAAAATCTTGGATGTAAAATGTAATAAGTAAACCTGTTTGAATAAGAACATGTTACAAGAACACATGAAAGCTATGGAATCCATTTAAAACATTTTCCAAATGAATAGGCGGGAGTATGAAACGACATTTTGGCGTGAATAATTCATTAAATCCCCTTGCACAAAAGACAAATGGAGTCTTCCTTACGAAAAGAAACGCAGAAAAAAATGCCTAGTTGGCATTTAGAATAAAGTATAAAAAAAAATGTATGCCGAAAAGTAAAGAAAATAAACTAAACAATATTTTGTATCAGTAATATATATGATGAATAGTTGGCTTTTGTTTCGTCATAACGTAAATAAAAGATTCTGATGTAAATCTTTTAGCACCAATTTCCGGTGGGTAGATTTTCACCGAGATTCTAAACAAAAATTTTCTAACTTGCCTGACAATAGAAAACGATATGGTATAATTTAAACTTCCAGTCTTTTTTTTATTGGTGAAATATATTTAGCAAAAATAATTCAATCTGAGTCACCAAAGTGTATTTTTTCTACTTACAACAGTATGGCACATCACACCAATCCCATCTTGTTGTTGTAGAAGTTGTGTAACACCAGGGTTCAGGTTCGTCAGCAATTCTACAGTAGTTGGATTCGGTGGCAAGGTAGGCATATTCTGCGAAAACGAATTACTGAATGAATGGAATTTTATATGCGATTGTCAGCGTTTGCAGACCTGTTTACCCAAATTGTTGTCTCTCAGTATTTTTCATTAGATTTGTCAGTGAGATTTGGCATTTGCCCGCAAGATTTCACTTTTCATCGACTGTACATATATTACTAGAAACAATTACATTTCTGATTACCAAATCATGGTTTAATAACAAAGCAAAACGTCATACACTGCTCTCTTTTGAGTGATTTCTGTCATTTTTTAAACCACCGCGTTTTGGCAACTTAAATGTTTGAACATTTTCTCTTCTTTAGCGATTAAAAAGCGTCAAACTGAGACAGATAACGAAAACTAATTGCTAAAATCCATATGAACGGATTTCCGTATTTTCGTTATAGCAAAACGTAAGACGTATTTTGGACTGAAAATCCGTACAAAATACGACGAAATCGTAAGAGTAAACAGGTCTGCGTTTGTGACCAAGCACGTTCATAGCAACGGTTTCGGGGGGGGGGGACTCCCTCAAAAACATCTTAGAAGCCTAAAATTGTCCAAAAGAGGGAAAATTCAACTCCCCAAAATGATCTGAAGCAATAAATAAATAACTTAAAAAATAAAAAAAAATATATATAAAATAAAAAAAAAATTTATAAAATCTCTTTAACTTCCAGATCCTTTTGGAATTTGCCAGTGCTCGACTAAACAGTAATAAAAAGTTAGGGGGGCAGACAGCAGCTAATTAAAATTAAAATTACATATAACAAAACTATACTCAGAATAAAGAGGGGCGCCCCCCCCCCCTTCCGTTCTACGGGCTTGCCAAGAAATACTGTGAGCAATGACACCCCTGCTCCCATATGAGTATATGATTTTGCTATGGGAAACTCTTAACCCGAGCAAAATATACAAGAGGCCCAAGGGCCTTAACGGTCACCTGAGTATAATACAAAAATTTAGAGGATCCATGGAGTATAAAATGAACTGAAAGGTGAAGCTGTTGCCCAAAGCAAGAAAAATAGGGTGATCAGGATCAACAAAATAATTAGTCTACTGTTCATTAACAGTTCATAAATTAGGTTCAAATCTGTTCCCCATTTATCACTATCACCATACAGTATATTAACAAATTATCAAGGATTCTGTACTATTTTCATTTCTTGATGAAATCTCTTACATTGGACTCTCTTGGTCTTTATTGAACATTGAATAAGACAGGTTATTTTTGTCTAATTTTTATTTATCTATTACTTACAAGTCTACCTGATCATTTAAACTATAAAAGTACTTTTTGTATTATACAATAAAAAATCTTGCATAATTCTCCTATTCTATTAACCTTTCAAGTACATTATTCACAGTGATTAATTATCAAAAGTAAATGGCAAAGGAGAATAACTCCTCTCAGTTGAATACAAATTAATAGAGCCCTGGCCAGGACCAGAACACTTGAACAAATGGTCCAGATGTTCAAAAATCTTTATTAAAACTTTTACTCTTTTTGCCTCTAATATGCCCAGGTGCAGAGAAGATTTTCAAGGAGATAATGCATTTTTACTACAGATTCACTATATTATCAATAGAGCCCCCCCCCCCCCCCCCAGCACCAGAGCCCCTTACTGGGGGCCATGAATTTCACACTTTTGGTAGAGTCACCCTTGCTTATCATAACTATGTATTCAATTTGTTTCAATAATACCCAGAAGTAGAGAAGAAGATTTTTCAAAGAATAAATGCATTTTCACTATCTGATTTATATAGCCCCGTCCTAGCACCAGAACCCCTGACCCTGGGGCCATAATTTCACAATTTTGGAAAAAGCATCCTTGTGCACCATTACTATGCACTTAGTTTGTTTAAATAATATCCAGGAGCAGAGACGAAGATTTTCAAAGAATTAATGCATTTTCACTATATAATCAATAGAGCCCCACCCTACCACCAGAAACCCTGACCCCGGGGCCATGAAATTCACAATTTCGGAAAGGCATCAATGCTTATCATAACCATGCACTTAGTTTGTTTATATAATACCCAGGAATAGAGAAGAAGATTTTCAAAGAATTTATGCATTTTTCACTATATAATCAATAGAGCCCCACCCAACCACCAGAACCCCTGACCTAGGGGCCATGAAATTCACAATTTTGGAAAAGGCATCAATGCTTATTATAACCATGCACTTAGTTTGTTTATATAATATCCAGGAGCAGAGAAGAAGATTTTCAAAGAATTAATGTATTTTCACTATATTATCAATAGAGCCCCACCCTAATTCCAGAACCCCTGACCCTGGGGCCATGAATTTCACAATTTTGGAAAAGGCATCATTGTTTGTCATAACCATGCACTTAGTTTGTTTAAATAATACCCAGGAGAAGAGAGGAAGATTTTCAAAGAAATAATGCACTTTCACTATATGATCTATATAGCCCCGCCCAACCACCAGAACCCCTGACCCTGCGGCCATGAATTTCACAATTTTGGAAAAGGCATCAATGCTTATTATAACCATGCACTTAGTTTGTTTATATAATATCCAGGAGCAGAGAAGAAGATTTTCAAAGAATTAATGCATTTTCACTATATAATCAATAGACCCCCCCCCCCCCCTTACACCAGAACCCCTGACCCTGGGGCCATGAATTTCACAATTTCGGAAAAATCATCCTTGTGCACCATTATCATGCACTTAGTTTGTTTCAGTAACACCCAGGAGCAGAGAAGAAAATTTTCAAAGAATTAATGCATTTTCACTATATAATCTATAGAGCCCCGCCCTAATACCAGAACCCCTGATCCTGGGGCCATGAATTTCACAATTTTGGAAAGGGCATCATTGCTTGTCATAACCATGCACTTAGTTTGTTTAAATAATACCCAGGAGAAGAGAAGAAGATTTTTAAAGAAATAATGCACTTTCACTATATGATCTATATAGCCCCGCCCAACCACCAGAACCCCTGACCCTGCGGCCATGAATTTCACAATTTTGGTAGAGGGCCCAATGCTTATTACAATCATGTCAACAGTTTGACTGCTTGATGTCCAGGAGTAAAGAAGAAGATTTTTAAAGATTGCATTATTTTTGGTGGTTTTAGCCCCACCCCTCAGGCCCCAGGGGGGCAGGGACCATGAAATTCACAATTCTTGTTTCCCTTCACCCAAAGATGCTATATGCCAAAATTGGTTGAAATTGGTTGAGCGGTTCTAGAGAAGAAGTTGAAAATGTTCAAAAGTTAACGCACGACGGACGACGACAGACAAAAACGGATAGCAATAGGTCACCTGAGTGACTCAGGTGACCTAAAAATAGGAACACTATGTAATAAAGATTCTGTAAGAGTCTCATTAAATTTTATTCAGTGTTATAAGTGGAGTTACGGTAAAAAGTAGGTACCACAATATTATAGAAAGAATGACACTGTCCATGTTTTGCTATTGGAAATATCTGTCTGATAGAAACGTATAAAAGAAGGTCACAAGGGCAGTATGTTACAAGAATTGTTTGAAAGTCTTAATCAATTTTATTTCGAGGTATAGGAGAATTGCTGGTAAGGAATGGGTACCCCCGAATTTTACAGATGAACCGACAGGTAACTCCTCACTATAAACCCCACTTTTCAAGAGAGAGGGGGTTAGAACTTTCGTTTTAAATAACTGTAAAAAAAAATCTTTTGTGAAGATATATCTGGAAGCAGATTGTTTGATACTATGTGACATTCGAAAACGTTACTATTTGGTTAAATATATCTATATACTGTGATGAAGAAGCGTTTCTAGTCAAATGTAGTCATTAATAGCAATTATTTACTGGAAGGTACAGCGTAAGGTTCGTTTGATGCCCATGCTTGACATTTGACTCCGTTCTTAGTGTAGGCACGGGTCCCTTCATACTCTTTTCCAGATTCAATGCAGTCCTTCGTGACGGTTTTGTCTGCTAAGAAATTTAATAATTTGATTGTTTGCACTCAAGAGACAGATCAAAATCAGTTATTTTGGTACGATGTTTGTTTTCATTTAAAAAATATTATATGCAATATAAAAAATTAGTTCTTTATCCTTTAGATAAAATGTAAATATAACGAACATAAATCCGGCTCAAACGTTTAAAATGACAGTCATAATTACATGTAAGGACATTGAAGAGTAACTACGAACTCTACTCACCACACTGCCCCACCTCCCACTTGATCTCATCCAGAGCTACGTCACTGTCCCACGCATCGCCTGCAATTGCCTCAAACGAAAGCTTAAACAGAAGGAATAAATAGTAAGGGGAATGTCCGATCCCCATAAATAATTTTCATTTTTGTATTAAACTTCAAGATTGATTTCAAAGTTTCACAAAAACTAAGTTTCATTTGGACACTTGCATTATCAAAAATTTTCCTTTCAGAGGATTAAAAATGTGGGGTAACTGATAAAGAAGGGGTCACGTATTGATGAAAAACTATTTACATGTACAATATCCGACAGGAAATTAAATTCATGGTCAATTCTGATACCTTTATTCCTTCCTTTGCCGGAATATTGACATTTGCTGTCAACCAATCAGATCCCTGGTTTCCTTCTTTAGACCAAAGGGACGTCTTTGCTGCATTTCGGCCCTCGGAAAATAACGTCAGCTTTTTGACGTTCCGTCCAAACATATTATAAGCGAAGGTAAGGCAACCGGCTTTGTCTGCAAAATTTTGAAAAGTTTACCATATGTATGCGGTTTTGGATATAAGGGAGTCTCTGCTTAATAAATCTAGTACTAGAGTAACTTCAACTTAATAATACCGGTATACTTCAATTTAATATAAGGTACATAGTCTCAAACCCAAGCCCCAGAATCATGAAACAGTCTTAGACTTAAGTCAAATTTTCAATCGGTTGTAAAATGTTTATTTATTATTGAATTAATATTTAAATTTGCATAAAAAAAACTTTTGTGACGCAATATAAAAAATATTTTAATTTTGGATTGGTTGACCTCTACTACATTTTAGTATAAAATAAAGATTTTAACTTAAGCTTAAGATGTTTCATGATCCTGGGGCCAGATATATATTTATGGTTCGTTACATCCTTTTTTTGAAAAATAATTAAAAAACATTTTTTTTCAATTTAGATTAAATTGAATTGTAAAAAAACTAATAGAGCATTTATTTTGAATCATTTCCAAAATATTTGTTGCCAGATTTAATTTAAAAAACTAACATTACAAAGCTTTTTCATGGACATTGTCGATTATTTTGGTAATTCCAGGCAGGGGGTTGACATTTCCTAATGAAATCATTCAATTTGAAATGCCAGCGATATTCAAAACGTATTTAATTTAAAATTGATTACGTCGTTTCCGCATCGACCAGACTATAGTTGATATTTAAAAACGTTACCGCATCTAACCTGGAAGAGTAACAACTGTTACTATGACCGCCCTGTCCCCTGGTTTTCTAGGTGAGGACATTTCAGCGAAAAGGAATCTCTCTCCTCTATAGACGCTCTCTGGTCCCGTCCCCAAAGAGATGCTATGTCTCTGAAAAGTAATCGTAAACAATAGGTCTCTGGGTCACAACGCTCACTTGAGTAATTTATAGCCCTGCTATTCCAATCAGCATATTTTGTTTATTTATTTAACAACTAGATTGAATAAGCTTGTGTCGTGAAAATATTTTGCGGATTTGGCAGTTTTTATGGGAAGAAAAAAAAAGAGTTAGTTCTTTGACTGTTTATTAAATTCTCATACTGATATTGAATCTTTATATTTTATATTTACATGTAAATAACTCTTTTTGTCTAAATTCTGTGCGATGAATTCAAAATTCTAAAACAATTTTAATTTCTAAGAATGGAGGAAACAATGGAATTCTTACATTCAACATATTATTATATTAAGATATATATTTTATGGTTCATAAACGCAGTTTAAAATTAAGTGACTGTTCCTTTGCTAAGCCCCAACAGGGGTCTTTCGGATGAGACCTTAAACACCAAGGCCCCGTGTCAAGGTAGGTGTCGGCAAGATAAAGAAGCCTCACTGATCAATGACCCTGGGTGCCGAGTATAGGTTCAAATTGTATGCCCTTCACAGGTATATGGTGACGTCTCTGTTTAAGTAAAATGTTCACGAATGGGACATTAAAAACAATCAATCTTTACAGATAGTCAGATACTTAATATTACTTATTTACCTATGACGTGTCAAGTATACAATGAACATCAACAAAATAAAAGGACGTTTTATTTCTATAGTATTTGTACAGAATTTTCTATTAGAATACATACAAATCCTACTCCCCATTCAAAGTTGTCGCCCTCCTGGGTGTTGCTAAAGAAACACTTTTCAAACCTTTCAAATGTACACTTCAGTTTCGCATCATCTAAAGAAAAAAAATATTATGCATTAGTTTTTGAAGAGTTCATCACAGATACAACGAATTGCCGAACTAATTAAGCTGATATTGCCTGACATTTCTATGTATTGTGCTGATGTACATTATCAGTGCATATGGTAAAGCATTTGTTGATTTATAGAACCGAGTCAAACGAAAATGATCCTTTTCCCTTGAATATTCCGTGTTCGTTTTTTGCTGAAAACGGTTTTACTTTATAGGTTAAAACTAATTGTCAAAGGTTTCTTTAATTTTTATTAAATAAAAGTAAATATGTATATAACTCATATTTGTATATCTGATGGTACCTGATGAAAAAAGAAAACATTTTTTTGTCAGATGGTTAAGTTTTTACCAGTATACATTTTTTAGACAGAACTCTTTATTGAGAACTCTCTAATCTGACAATTTTGCAATCAATTTCATTGTGAATGGCGATCTTTTTCCCTAACTTACTATTCCCCTTGTTATATGCAATATGGTATAGGACAACCTGTACTTCCGACACGAAACCCATATCCCATTGCAAGTCGGAAAAGTAAGTTTTCCCTGTATATTATTTTCAATAGACGGATTTCACATTCGAAAGGGTTATCTCTCGTTGTCGGGGTAACGCTCATTTCTCTCACTATAACCGTTGAAACTGACTTGTAAATATTTTCAACCTTTAAATGCTATCGGACAGTTTTGATCCGTTCCTGTATTGCCATAATATGGGGCAACATAAAAAAAAAATAACAAACTTATTCATACAGATTTCAGTTGTAAGACATTGCCCCATAAAGTTAGTAATGGTATAGAGGGAAAACAGTGTCTCACGCCGGTTGACGTTGTGATTGACCCCGCCAAGGGAAATAACTTTTTAAATGGGAAAATCGTCTATTAGATAAATCTTTCTACCTAAAACTTGGTCACAGTTGTCTCCCGTGTATCCAGGTTGACATACACACTTGTACTGGCATGCCTTTAGCTCGGAAGGAACACACACACCATACAAACAAGGATTATCTCTGCACACTGCAATAGAATAATAAACACGAAATGTAAAAAGAAAACAAAATGGCAAACTTTTTTAAACTAGCGAATTCAAAGAAATTGTGGTCCCCCGTTTTCCGTGTTTTAGTTGTTGGGTCGCAACTATTTATGGCAAATTGTAACTGTCTTGTTTGTGTTATTTTTGTACGACACCGTCACAGGACATCATAGGAGCAAATCGGCGGGAAAATCCATGTAGCCAAAACGGAAAAAAAATTACAAAAACTACATGTACTAGCACACGTCCTTTAGTGTTACAAGTTACATGTAAGTAATTAAAAATTCTAATATTCTGCGCGACGTTTTCAGAAATATATGGTACTAAATACATATTTGAAAATGATTTTGACAGGTATGCCTGGAAATTTTCGACCAATGTTTTGTTTAGCACCTTTTGCTGTTGTCGCAATTAGGAAATTTGAAACAGGATAAGAACAATATAAATAGATTTTTATTTTTTAAACATGTTTTTGCATTTCCAAATCGTGTACAAGTGTGCAACGGCCAAAAGGACCCCGTATGGAGTAAACGTGTTAGCATTTCCAAATCGTGTGCAAGTGTGCAACGGCCAAAAGGACCCCGTATGGAGTAAAAGTGTTAGCATTTCCAAATCGTGTGCAAGTGTGCAACGGCCAAAAGACCCCGTATGGAGTAAACATGTGTTAGCACTTCCAAATCGTGTGCAAGTGTGCAACGGCCAAAAGGACCCCGTATGGAGTAAACCTGTGTGATCATTTCCAAATCGTGTGCAAATGAGCAACGGCCAAAAGGACTCCGTATGGAGAATTAGGTGGATAAGGTATATCATACAAGCGATAAAATAGCACATTTATATCATTCTAAAGAAGACAATTTGAAAATATCAATAGAGGTTGCATAAAATAAACACATATTTTATCCCCTTTTAAAGAATACATTCTTTAAAAACACATTTTGTTAACAACATTGTCCTTTTTACATTCTGTTTTCTGAAATTTACCTTCTTTTTCCTTCTCAAAGTGGAGTTTGAATCCTTTGTGAGTAACTCTGCTGCCTGCAAATTTAGTATCCATGGTAACAATCATAAGTGTAGGCGAGTCTTTTGATGTCAAAAAGGTTTCACCAACGATATCTCCACACCGCCTGCCAATCAAAACGTCACGTGGTAAATATTAAAAAAGCATATCGATTATTGTACGGTAAAAATTATACATTATATAGCTGCGTAACACCTGCGCATGCAACGAACAGAACAAATGTACATGTAAAATCACGTATTACCAGATGTTAGGTTACCTGATGCCAGGTTGACCTGGAAGGTTGTACTGTATTTCTAACCAATGATAACATCGAACTGTTTTCGGGTTATATGCCAAATGAAGGTCATCTATTGTCATTTTAATAATGAATCCTTCTGGCGCCTGTTAAACAAAAGAATTGCTTTTCTAAATTAAAAAGGCAATACCCGTATTATATGTATTTCATATGACTGTCATTTTTGTACATTTTCCCTGTTTATCTGTGTAAGAACGTTCGCTCCAACTTTTTTTTCTTCTTTTTTTTAATTTTTAATTTTCTTTTTGGTAATTTTTGAAAGTGATGTAGGATAAAAATTATACAAGATAGTAATTCAAAGTTACGACTAAAAGGGTGCCATTTGTGCCTTAATTGCCCATCTGCAAATCTTTCCCTGACCGACTGGACCCGGATAGTTGGGAGATGTTACAGAAACGTCTTTGCTTTGGTCTAAAACCACATCATTTTCCTTCAGGTAAACAAAGCCACCACAGTCTGAAAAAAAAACCCAGTAAGAATCCAAGTGGTATTAAATTGATTATTAAAGGAATTGGTTTCGAGCGGTCATAAGCACAGTATTTATTAAGAACCGGAGATCAATATGTAATAAATTTCTCTTTGGGAATTTATGCAAAGTTAACTGTTTAATTCGATAACTATACAGTACTTTAAATATGTATCTTTGAGTTTATTCTATGTCTAACAATAACAATATTCTGAACTCTAAATGCACATAGATATTCCATTGTTTACCCGAGTCTGTAATCACAGTATCACACGTTGCCCCGGTAAACCCCTCGGGACAGTTACAGCCACATGTTACATTGATATATCCACCATTATAACAGTCAGGTGGCGGGGAACAATGATCTGAAATTATACGGAAGCGAAAGTAAAATTTCAAATCTTCTTTTACTGAAATTTACCTTGATATTTTAAATGATTTTAGAATGTTTATCATTAGGTCATAACTCATGCAAGATTTAGCTTTCTAATTGATTCATACGACACAATAATCTTTGTTACAGTGTTAAAAGATACGTCTTTTATTTTTCATCTCTAACATTTAAGTATGCGTATTTTCAACTCATTATTTATTTCAAAACGTTTGTAGTAAATTACCGGTGCATTTATACTGATCCAGTACATCTTTTAAATCATAAAAAGAGAAAATCTGATGGCTTGGAACTTCAAGAAATAGCAGGTTTTTGTCTCTCAATTCTATCGTTGTTTTTCCACCACCAAAGGACTAAAAATAAACATGTGTTCATCGAAGAGAAAAGTAGTATCAATCTAGGAACACAAAAAGTTGTAAATTCAGTCGTTAGACAAATCATTCAAAAGTGAGACTTTTCAATTGTCTGATTGAGGTTTCTCAATATTATACAATTTTTGATATTGCTGTTTTGAAGTCTTACAATGGTTTAGTTACCCGATGAGTACCATATTTACCTAACTAAAAATAACGAGGTTAATATTGTACATCTTGGATTGTTAAATTATTGTATTGACCGAAAAAAAACAGCAGTAGTTGATTTATAACATGTTTGAATGATACAAACCCGTTAAGCAGACCTCACATTCATTTTTGTTTGTTTACGTGTGTTTTCTTTAAACAATTTATGAATCAACAAATTATTTTTATGTATTACATCTACAAATAATTTTTAAACAGCTGAAACAATTTAGCCACAACGTAAAATTGTACATGCATGTATATATTTGTAAATATTGTCCCGATCTAATTTTAGTCTTATCTTGAAAAAGTACATTATGTTCACTTGAAGTTGAACATATCTTAGTTTGATTTCTAAAGTGTTTGATCTTAGCCATTCTATAAATTATTCTATCATATAATAAAACCGTTTATTGTTACAGTATTTATACAGGATATTTTGATATGATATATTTGTTTTACTTTTTCGACTATGTTGCTCTGAAATTCCTGTTGAATGCTTACCGTATATCCGTACTGCATCACACTTCCAACATCATACGGGTTACGATTGTAGGTCAAGCGTCTGTAAAAATTAAACTTATTATCGGGATTGATGTTCTTCCAAACAATCCTGACATACCTATCCCGATCACTCCGAGACTGCTCGTGTCTTTGTCCAAGTCTGTGCAGCATTTCATGTACGGATGTACTGACCTAAATGAATGAAAAAAAAACAATTGAACTACAACCCTATAATTTAAGACACGTGGTGTAGGTTGACCCATTCAAAGGTTATAGGGTAGATCCGGTTTTATAAATTAAAATGGTAGTAAACAGGAAATTGCTATAGTTTGTTTCCTTTAAAACATATTCTATGATTTTTTTTTTGTTTCCTTACCCTCTGAAAAATTTTCATGATTTTAAAAAGGAAAAGGAGGTTAAAAATCACGAGCTTCTTAATCTTCGCTTTTGTGAAAATTTACGGCGACATTTTTTTTCTCAAAATGCTCAATAAGCTGGTAGAATCAATCACAAACTGCAATCACAAACCTTTGTTTACCTTTCGCTATTGTTATCATTACACACAGTGGATCATACCACGAACAACTGACCAATCGTTGCATGAATAGCAACGTTTCTTGGACAACTACATGTTAACATTTTACTTCAAACACGTGGTTCAGGTCAATCTACGACCCGATATTTGATGGACTGCAAAAAACCAATTAAAACAGAATATTGTTTTTATCAAAATACAAAGATTAGAAACAAAGAAATATGTCTCGGGCATTTGTAATGTGTTGATACGTTTTTAACTAGAAAATGTACATTATAAATGTAGTCTTTGCAACATTCAGCGCTTCAAGGAAAAGGAAAATGAGCAGCATCTCTTAAGCAATAAAAGTGGGGGGTTTTGTACATTATAATACCAGTGAACACGTGTTTTTGTCCAGGGAATCCACCTGACATTTGTATGGCTTTGAGATATCTAAAATTTCACGTTTATTTATTATTAATAAGAAATGAATTGTTTCTAAATGTTAAATAATAGAATAAAAATTGACATACTGCTTTTTATCTACGATCGAAATGCATGGAAAAATGTTCATTGTGCCTTTCCGATCGCCTGAAGATTTGGTTTTTTCTAAGCGTAAAATTCCTGTAGTATCCGTAGTAACTCCTAATGCAATTCAACTCATTCAGCTGATTTATGAACGTAAGCCATGTTGCATGGTACCTCATTTGCTAATCTGACGCCAAAAAATAAGGCCCCAGTTTCAATTCGTGTGTTTGTCCAAAAAAGAAATTTTAATACATAACTTCAGAAAATAATGTCATTAAGAATACATATTGAAGTTTGAATGAATTCAAGAGAGACTGGAGTGCATTTCTACCGATATTATACAGGGGTGAAAACTGAAACGCAACATAACTTTTTTGTTTACCATGTCTCCACGTGCTAGTCACTTCGTAGCCACATTTCCGTGAATAATTTACCTTATCTCGCTATAGTCTCGCTAATTCTCGTCAGAGCTACTGCGAACTCCTCGGGTATTATAGTTTGTAGAACACCGAAAAATAAAAGGTTCCGAACACATTAGTAAGGCTGAACTAGTGCATACTAAAATGTACACCTACTTGAAATAATAAAAAAATATATGGAACGCGAAGTACATGTACCTAGGAATTGTACAAATAAAAAAAATGTTCTATTAAACATACATCCTTATATATTATACACTGTACAACATTTAACTCAGAGTGACCAGTTATTGAAATATCACTTTTCCTTAGATACATGTAGAGACATGGATGTGCACCAAAGTTGAATATATCTAGTTGATATCTTATCAATTTATAAATTGATATACATGTATTACGTTAACTTGTGAATTTCAAACAATCATACGTATTTTTCCCCATTATATGTATCAATATGTAATGTTATTTAATAAATAAATCCAGTTTCTTATATATTTCATATGAATCGTTCCCTTTTCATTTCATTGGTTAATAGATAACGCTTCAGTGATGGCGTCTAGGGGAAACATCGGGAAACATACTTGGTTCCATATGAACCGGTAATCCTCTAGAAAATTAACTGTGCCGTAGTATATTTTTCAAATGAAATTAAGAAAATTATGCGTAAGTGTATGATTCATTATCACACGTCTTCAATCAAAAGCTTTTATGACCTTTTTCACGTGTATATAATCTGTAGCTTCCACTCACCGACCGTTCACGGTAGTTCAGTCGGTAGAAGGCTCGCTCCGTGATCGGGAGGTCGTGAGTTCGAATCTCGGCCACGACTGACCTAAGTCGATAAAAACGGGTAGCAACTGTTTCTTCACCATGCGCTCCATGAGACCTTAAAAACCGAGGCCCCGTGTCACGGTAGGCGTTGGCACGATAAAGTTCCCTCACTGCTCAATGGCCCTGAGTGCCGAGTAAAAGTCAAAATTTGAAGCCCTTCACCGGTATATGGTGACGTCTCTATATGAGTGAAAATTTCTCGAATGGGACGTAAAACAACTTACAATCAATCAATCCACTCACCGATCCACATCCGGGTTCTGCTAATGTAATCACGAGTTCGCCTTTTCCATAGAACCCTACACCAGAACTACATCCTGATCCACTGAAAAAAGAGAAATTTATACCCCGGCTCTAATGTTTGATGATCAGATTAATATCTTGTTTTGGAATGCTCAACAGGATATATAGAGAGGGACGAAAACATGGTATATTTATATGGTATATTCATCGTAATCATTACGGAACAAAAATTGTGCAATGTGTTGTCCCAACTTAAAGATTTTATTTTGATGACCATGATAATAATTGAAAATCTATATAAACTATATTAAATATCAATTCTCCAGTTCTCTTTTATGCATACTGATCTAGGACGATACAATTTGTACTAAATATTGGATAAAACCAACGTTTTTATATCCAAAGAAACCTTAACATTAATCGATAATGTAAAATAATTTCACAACTATTAAGTTTTACACCACAACTATCAATTTTATGACGTATTGAAAAGAGGGGGGGGGGGGGGGAGAGGTTTAGGTATTCTTTTGTTCCCCAGTGCTTCTAAAGAGCCTTGTATATTTTATACGCAATATGTTTCTTTTAAATAAAAAATGTTAAATTAATAAAGTTTGCGCCAACTTTAATATTTGTTTGCCCTCTCCCGACTCAGGCAGGAAAAACTGAGTCGAAAGGTGGTGAGAATTTCTCTTTTCCACAGAAAATTTTAATTTCAATGCTGAATTTTCAAAATCTGTTATCCAGAATACATAAAAATGATTCCTAAAGGTCTAAAAATGTTTTGAGTCGGGTCATTCCTAGTCAGTCGGTCGAGAGAGGGCATCCAAATAATTTTCTAAAAAATGGCCTTATATAAAAAAAAAATATTTGAATAACTTAACTCAAATGATGTAGTGAACATAAGAGCATTATTATCTTTTTTTTTTTTTTTTTAAAATATTTTTGAGATTTTGGCCTGGGAAAATAAAGATAAATATGGCCTTATTTTGAATCTTATACCATTGACAGGTTAGATTCTTAACATGGTTTTTAACTTCAATTTACACTGTAGAAACCTCTACAGAAAACGTACCTCTGAACTCGAACGTATGCCTGGTGACCTACTTCTTGGGTTACTTCCGGCGACCTTGGCTTCCATCGAATACAAGTGAGTTCATTAAATAACGCGATTGCGTCTTGGAATGGTTTTCTATTTGCACCTTAAAAAAAAAACTTTTATTTTTATTTTACTTACCTTTTCTGCATAAATTGCATTATTTGATTTTAAATTTCAATTGAATGCTTTAAATTTTACAACAGATATTCTAATCATAATGATCAAAAGTTCAATTTTCATATTCGAAGATGAAAACGTACGCAGATTATCATCAAATATGAAGGGAACGATGCCTTTAGGCCAGTTTTGCCAACTCGGTCCAAAGTTCCTTTTCCTGCGTTTCTGAAAATAACACACGATTTATGATTTTTTGAAAGTATAATTAAATGCAGCAAGATATAGACACTTCCAACCACCATTTTAAAGGTAATTTTCAGGGTTTTTCATTACATCTATCATTGTATATTTTTGTATATATCTTCACTTAGGTATTTTAGGCACTAGAAGTTTACATCAATTTATAACACTCTATACACTGTGGCTTCATACCAACATACCTCTTTTCCACTTCCGCCCTCCTTCTCCGACTCCTCTTTTGTCTCTACAGTTTTGTCCAATTTCTGTTCCTTAAATTTTTCGGACTTTTCCGGATGGAGCCCTTGAGGCTGAAAAAAAAAGCCTCTATGAATAAAATAACTCCATATACGCTTAAAATAATCATTTATTTCTTATCTGTACTACAGTTTTAGTATATTTGTATATATACATAATTTTTCTCTTTGTTTTTTTTTTTGTTGTTGTTGTTGCTTTTTTAAAAGTAGTTTGTTAATTGTTAGCACTAAAATTTAACGGCAATTTAGTGTACTCACATGTTGGATTTGCCCATTTATTCCTACGCCCATACTGTATAACAGCCGCTGATCCGGATCCTCTGGGCTTATATTCTAGTAAAAAAAATTATCAGATACAGGTAGCTGCACAGGGCAGTCACAATTCAGATTGAACAACGCTGGAAAATTTTCCTTTTCGTTTGCACTGGTTTTAGCCAATTAAGAGATTAATACCTGTTTATCAATTTTGTCTTCGTTACGAATTCTCGTTTCATCTTTATTTTCCAACCTTTCTCTCTTAAAGATTAAAAACAAAGTTTCAAACTATACTATCTTGAATTTAAAACAGAATTCCTCGTAAATGTAGCTTTTAAAGACAGATGATACAAATAATATTTCTTCAAAAATAATAAAAGTACATGTAACAGCTATAGCCATGTCTATACATAAATTGAATAAGTTTAGTCGCATTTAATAGTAATTGTTAATTATCATTCAAGACTTTATAACGTCCTATAAAGTGATGAAAAAAAAATCGATTGATTTATGAGAATAACATTAAAAAGTTAGAATTTTGAACATCATGACATTTTTACAGTAAACAATATTTTAGAAATTTAATATTTGCGTAATTTACAACCAAAAAACGTCCAAATTTAAAAATATACATGTATATTAATCGAGATATCCTTTTTTGGATCATCTTTCGTTAAATTTTTTGATTGGATTTGAAATAATTAAAGTATCTGAAACATTTCACTTACATAAATATTTGATGTTTTATTAATGAAGGTTGTAAAGTAAAATACATTGAGTAGAATAAAAACAGCACTTAAGGATTATTTTATATATAGTGTGATACGTGCCTCCTCTGTAGTTTGTTCGCCAAGCTCTAAAAGTCTTCTGATGTCATCAAGTAGACGTTCTCTGTAAGCTAAGTAAAATAGATGATTAGATTATACAAATGATGAATAAATGTTTCGATCCATAGTATGAAGGATATTACAAGCACATGAACACACCCCCTCCCCCCACAAATAAATAAATGGATGCGCAGATTGGATATGTTTGTTTGTTGTTTAACGTCCCTCTCGAGAAATTTTCGCTCATATGGAGACGCCAACACTGGCCGAGGGAAGGCCACAAATTTTGACCTATACTCAACACTGCCATTGAGCAGTGAGGGATCTTTTTGTGCCAGCACCTACTGCGGTTTATACGGTCTCGTCCAAGAGACCGGTCTCCACGTCCAACAGTGGAATTCGAACCCGCGACGTAAAGATCAACTCTAGGGCAGACGCTCTAACCACTGCGCCACTCGGGCGACTGCATAGATTGGTAAATATACTTTTAAGTACAGTTCCACGTAACAATCAGGCAGCCTATATATAAAAGGTGATACATGGGGGTTCTCAGAAATTAATGATTTTTCGCTCACAGTTTTTTCTTGGTCTATAAGCCGTGTATGTGGAAGGAAAAATATTTTGGGTCATTGTTACTATGGAAACCTGGACAAAGAAATTTCCCTAGCAACCGCCCAATTTTTCTTTGTAGATTGATGAAATTTCACTCATTTTGAAGGCTTTATACCAAACGTAAATATAGTGATTTTTTTCTCTTATTTAGTGTAATAAGAAAGATACATTTTTAAAGTGTTCTGTCAACATAATAAAAAGAAATTACATTCTCTAATATATTTGCTATAGACACAGGTAAAGATACATGTTTCCCATTTTTTGCTGATTCAGCATTTTGCTTGATTTTAGCAAAAATCAAGTCAATATTATTCATTTCACCATCTTAATACAACTGTTTCATCTATTTCGTGTAAAACCACTGGAAAGCCTCTCTTAGAATTTGAAATAAAAAGTTTTGCGAGTTTGAAAATTCCTATCTGTTGCTAAGCAACAAAAATGATGGTTTGATTAATTAAAAAAGGGGAAAATGAAAAGCATTGCAAGAAAAATCGAATAAATTGTAATCATTGAGTACCATAAACAAATTTTAAAATAGTAAAATATACAGTATTCTTCCTTGTATACTAAAGACTATTTTACAATAAGCTATCTCCATAGCAACAGCAAATTTTCCTTAGCAACGAAGCATTGAAAGTTATTTATCGGACATATTCATCTAATTTTTTAAAAGATTATCTGATTCTCATTGTTGGATTGCTATTGCCCAGAATCGACATTGTCAAACTGGTTTTTCAAAGGTATTTTTGAGTTAATTCATCCATAGCAACAGAACTTGTCTACATAACAACAAATGTATTTTATAAAGAATCAGTATGTAGCAATTCCTCAGCAAAAATCTTTGTCTTTAAAGGATGTTTACTAGGCAAAAACATTCTACTAATGGGAATGAATATTACTTACTTGCCTTATGACTGTGGTATTTTTTTCACTTTGAAATAGTAAATCAATAACCTATTTTTCATGCTAGTGGCTTATTGAGACTCTAGAGTCTTAAAATTTCTTGCAAATTCCTGAAAATTTTGCATCATGACCAATATTTGCAACGAAAACTGGGTAGTCTAACTTCTGATAAGTTTAAAAAAAAACAGTAATCTCGTAATAAAAAAAAATAGATTTTTGATAAGGTCTACATGTGACAATGCAGACCTGGTGAGGTATTGGTTGACCGAGGCCGAAGGCTGAGGTTAATCAGTTTCTGACAAAGTCCGTATAGTAACAAGTAGACCTAATTCAAAAGTCAATAACTGTATTTTAAAGTATCAGGATTTTTTTTTTTTTTTTTTTTTTTATACATTTTTCACAATCCACCTATTTTCTTCATCAAATATATATTAACGCCCATAATATACTTAGTATTTTGTTTTGCAGCAAGATATCATAATTATTTTTCAACAGTTTAAACTGTTTAACAAAGGTGGAAAATAGTATATTAAAACTATAAATATTCAAACCATTTACTTATAAGGAGTTTAGACGGTTCGGTACTGGAGTCTGTGCGCAATTTGACTGGCAGATAAAAATGTAAGCAAAGCTATCAAGATTGGCTAAGACAGAAAACCTAAATAAACAAACTCTTTGTAGCGAGACTTCTGTCTCCTGAATTACAAGATAAAAAAAACCTTATTTTGATGAGATTACTACATATGTAATAAGTTATAATGAGATACTAACTCATGAACAAGATAGCTAATTTATTATTAAAAAAAAATGACTAACTCGTTGAAACTTTTTAACAAGATAACAAACTCGTTGTAACGAGACTACTAACTCCTGGAGAATGAGATTAAAAAATTATTATAATATGATACCAACTCGTTATAAAAGCAAGATAGGAAATTCATTTTATTGGGGGTAACTAATTCATTATTTAAGGAATGAATTTCATAGCTACTCCAGTTATACCGTACGGTATAACCTGCGTTGGGACAGTTTCCGCTTTATAAACCATGAAGCGGTTCATAAAAAGGGTAAATTGTTCCAACCCAGGTTATACCAGTGTAACTTGGGCAGCTATTAATTAAATTCATTTCTTATAATTTAATTTTCCAATTAAGGCAATTTTCCTTAAGAAATGCCTTCAAATTAAGCATATTTTAAAAGTACCTCAAGCCAAATAATACGTTTTTGGTGTAAGTCATTGTGACGTAGGCAACATATGTTATACGGTATAAACTACATCTTTTATTCTATCAAATGACGTGTTACAACCAGAATTAAATTATTACGAGATAACTAACTCTCGATTTTTATTATTTACTAGTCTAGTTATTACAGGCTATTTACATGTAATAACTAAAAAATATTTTTGATATAACGAGCTTAATGAAAAAATAAAAGAAATACACTGAAAATAGTGATAGTCTTGTTTCATGAAATAAACAATTAAAGTTTGTGCTTTAACTGTAATCTAAGCTTGTTTTATATCTCCAAGTTGGTTCAATACGCAAGAGATGCTCTAGGTACGAATAATTTCTAAAAGGAGGCAAGCTACTGACAAACAAGTTGATGAAATAAGAATATCAACAGTCTTGTTTATAGTCATAATTTCGCAAGTTCTATGGTCGATACAATGACTTTGTCAGCAAATGCAATCTATCTTTGAATTGTATGCTGGCTGAACCCATTCATAGTATTTTTTTTATTGATTATATCCTTAATATTCCTTTGTATAAATATGATCTCCTGTTATGGCGCCTCTATTCTCCTGGGTGGCAATGATTTGAAAAAAAAATAAATTAACATTAACTGAAGATGCTTTTATATTTTTATGACCAATCATGGCTTTGTTGGTCTTGTGAAGAATTTAAGATTTCCCCTTTGTCTTCATATTTAAAACTTTGATCGCCCATTGTGGCCCCGCCCTACCCCATGATTTGAACAAGATTTTTTTTAAATGATGCCATTAATTTTTCACAAAATCATCATAATATCCCTTTTGAAGAAGGCGTGTCCCTTCATCTGAACAAACTTGAATCCCCTTTACTCAAGGATACTTTGTGGCTAGTTTGGTTGAAATTGGCCCAGTGGTTCTTGAGAAGGTAGATGAAAATGTGAAAAGTTTACAATTACAACGACGACAGACGTCGGACTCTTTTTGATCAGAAAAGCTCACTAGAGCCTTCACTCAGGTTAGCTAAAAATCCTTAGCAACTTCAAATTGGTTCCCCCAAGAAGAAGGGTGATCGTTGTTGATTCTGAGGTCACAAAGTCAAGGGTAAAAGAAAAATAACCCAGACAAGAATTTTTTTTTTCCTTTCCAGCCAGTGATCTTGAGCTCGGAGGAATGATCTTTATTCAATATGAGGACACACCCTCGGATCATTAGCAAGCTCTGTTTCAAGTAAAGCTACAAGTGAATCACCATTACAAAGTTGGAGTTCAGACAAGCATTTAATATGTTTTCGTCAGTGACCTTGAACTTGCCAAAACCTATATGGGTCAAGGTCATGAATTACCCATGGTCAAAAGCATTCTCTGTACAACGTATAAGCCTATTAATTCTCAATTACAAAGTTAAAGGACAAACCAGAATTTTATACTTTCTGTAGGTGAACTTGAACTTCCGCGCAAAAATGGGTTTGGGTTAAGGTCGGCTTTACTCTTAGGTCAAAAGCAATCTTTGTACCAAGTATGAGCTTCTAGTAATTCTCCATTATATAGTTTTTCTGCCAGTGAATACGTACTTGCCGGAATGACCTAGGGTCAAAGTCAACAAACACTCTTGGATCATCAGCAAATTTTATTCCATGTATGAGCTTCCAGAGATTCGCCATTACAAAATCACTTATTACCCAGATAATTATAAAATTTTTCACCAAA